GATCTGACTGTAAGCTTTTTCAGAGAAATTGGACTTCTGCTTTTGGATATGTAAGCTCCCTGATTCTTTTTTAATGCTGGCGACTAATTCACATTAGGAAGGAAGGAAAAGAGGAAGGGAGGGAGGGAAGGAAACAATGTGTGGGCCAAACAAAATAGGTCTGCGGGCTTGATTTATCCTGTAATCTCCAGTTTTTGTAACCTCTATTCTGGAGAATGAAAACTAGTGTAAGATAAGCAGGTTTTAAAACTTTTGGGAGGTATGTCTTTTTTTTTATGGTACTTTAATTGAATGCAAAGTTTACAACCCAAGACAGGGAGATGGTAAACCTTCAAGGAGACTTAGTTTTCCCAATCAGATCAGATGTAACAAGGGCTAGAAAATGGATTCTGCCCATTGTTTTAAAATATCTTCCTTTATTTTCTTTCTATTATAGTTTTAAATATTCTTCTGAATGTACCCTTGCCACCTCCGTGCAGTTAAGCTGGTTCAATTTAAACATTGTCACAGAGTTAACTTTTTATAAGATGAATCAGGTTATTAAATTTAGTAAACCATTGCCTTCATTATTTTGCACAAACTTTGGCACTGTGCAGAAGTGGCTCAGCATTACTACATTTAGTTAATTAAACCGGTCCTAGCTGTGGCATTACAGGAGTGAGGGATGCTATTCTTCAGGGCTTTTCCAAGACTTTAAACAGTAGGTAGCATTATTAAACTTTTTATTTATTTATTTATTATTTTTTTTTATAAAACTCCACACTCTAGAGATATGGTTTACTATAAAAATGTTATTGTCCTTCTTGTTGAACTATCAGCCTTTGAAATATCCGTGCTTTGTTTTTGCTCCAAAAGTGATCGTAAAGAATAAGGAAATGGAGTTGTCTGTCGCAGCTTTGAGAAGTGGGCTTGCGGTGGGTAATGCATCGCTTAGGTAAAGGAAGATGTAAGAGCCACAGTGTAATTTTACATGACACAGGGACAGATGGCTTAACCATAACCACAGTCAGGAATTATCTAATGGAAACTTCTGCCCACAACCTGTTGCTGCCATCATGTTAGATGCGTTCTTTTTAGTAATAAAAAGTCCTTTGCAATAGATTATTTTGTCAAGTGCGTAAGTATGACTTAACAGGTTTGTTTGGGAAAATAAATTTTGATAGAGAAAGGGCATGCTTTTTCCCCCCCAGAGATTTCTAGGTAATGTTATTCAAAACCGTAGTGAGCAGTATCTTTGCAAGATTTTAATAGTTATTCATTAGAAAGAAAGTTAAAGGGTCATCGATATTGTTTGAAACAATTTGGATTGTTTTAAAATAGTCCAGAATTATAGCTTGTTAACAGTCTGTAAGAACCATTGTTCCTTTGGCAGGTATTTATTGAATCCTTACCGGATGTTAGTCCCACGGGATATGGAAATGAAGAAAGCACAGACTCTAAGGCACTTACAGCTAACCTGGTAAGGGGGACAAGTAAAGCCCTGCCCGGCCCGCATCGTACTGATGCTGTCTCAGTCCCTTAGAAACATGGTTGCTGACGCATGACAGAGCATTATGCCAACCATGTCCCCCATCTCCTTGCATCATTTTCTTCTTACACTCTGATGTAATATGATGAAAAATATGCCTGATGATTGCCGTGGCCTGGGAATTTCGTAGGGACACAAAGTCTGTCATTTTCAGCAAGGTCTGGGTGTGTGAAGTCCTGGGATTGCAAGTGAGGTTGTTTTTGGCTACTTGACGTATCCTCCGTTTGGCTGTCAGCGTTTCATTAGCCTGATTGATGTAGCACATCGGTCAGCAAGATTTCATCTCATGTCTGTTGCCATCCGATTTGGGAACAGCTGGGCTACAAAACCTGTTTTTTTACTTCTCTCTCTTTTCCCAAATGGTGCAGGTAACTTTTGCTCACTGGTGATAAAGGGTGAAGTTGACATTATGGATCAAAATGAGAAAATTTCAATTATTATCTTGAAGATATGGATTCAACCACCTTGTACTGCATATACCAAAGAGGAAGCAAACAGATTTAGGTGTTAAATATTTCAGATTTAAAATCCTTTGTGCATTATTTTAACGTCAGATTTAAGTATAGGAGATTATCCTTAGATAATGGTAAACGAATATTTTGGGATACAGAAGTTGGCATAATCTGAGAAATAACTCTGGTTATTCCAGCAATGAAGTTCAAGAGTATTTCAGAGCCAGTATTTAGACAAATGGAATGGTGCATCTTATAGCTATTTTCTTTAAAATTCTGGTTGATGTTAAATCAGTCAACTCTTTGGCTGTTGTTAGGAGCAGATCTAGGAGAGAGTTTTAATTTTTCAGTCATAATGACAGCGCCGTATATGGTAGGTCATACAAAGCATAGAGGAGGCACAGGGTTTATACCAAGGATTTCGAAAAGAACTAGAAACTAACATTTGTTTTCTATATGCTATGATTATGTTAGGCTCTTAGTGTTTGTTTACTACTTATTCTCCATTTTAAGAAAAGATAACTGAGTTTCTGATGGGTTAAAGGCATAGCCTTAGGTCTCATAGCTTATAAATAGTTAGAGCTGCTATCAACGCAAGTATGTCAAACTCCTGAGTTTGAATTTTCTATATGCTGTGCTGGCTTCCCTGGAGAACCAGTTTATATAAATAGACTGGCCTCCACGGAGAGTAGATTATGGAAGTGATATGAATGAATGAGCTTTCCTAGACTTGTATGGCAATCTCAATAAGATAATGAATGATACTTTGATTTTTCATACATATTAATATTATTTTGGAAACAAAAATCTCTGGTCATCTGCCTTGCTGCCTTCTTCTAGTAGAGTTGATTTCTTTGTGTTTGCAGTGTACTCTGTATGGTCTTCTACATAGCTTACAAGATTTGGTATTTTCTGCTTAAGAGCAGTGGTATGGTGTTCAAGCTTTGCAGTTAGACTGCCCCTCTGCTCCTCTCTCCTTCCCTCTCCTCCTTTCAAGTCTCTAATGTATAAGAGTTGTTCCACACCCATGGCAACATTGTGTGTGTGTATATATATATATATGTGTGTGTGTTTAATTAGCCATTGTAGTAGTAGATATGTAGTAGTATCTCACTGTATCTTTTGCATTTCCTTAATGACTTATAAAATAGTTGTTTTTCTTCTTTTCCTATTATGTGGAAGAGTTTATGTAAGGTTGGTGTTTTTATTTTCTTAAATGTTTGGTAGACTTTACTGTTCAAGACATATGGATCCAAAGTTTTCATTTTGAAAATTTTCTTTAAATATATAGAATTTTCCATTTTTTTCTATCTTTTTGCAACAAATTTTAAGTAGTGTCTTTCTGGGAATTTTTCTTTTTTCACCTATATCTTAAATTTACTGGTATAAAGTTGTTCAGCATATTTTCCTAAGATCTTTTTAGAGTTTGTAGGATCTGGAATGATGTCCTTTTATTCATTCCTGATATCAGTCATTTGTATGCTTATTTGTACATTAGAGCCCACACTCTATAAGACTTGTTAGCCCTTTATCAATTTATTAGTCTATTCAAGGAAATGACGTTTGGCTTCTTTGTTCTTATGTATTTTATGTTTTTTTTTTTTTAAATCTATTAGTTTCTCCTTTTATTTTTATTACCTTCCTTCTGCTTTCTTTAGGTTTAATTATCTGCTTTTAACATTTTCTAACTTAATGGACACTGAGCCGATCTTCTGTTTTAGTATTACATATTTAGGGCTATAGATTATCCATGGTTTTAACTATGTTCCATAAGTTGTGATATGAATTTTTATAATCTTTCAGTTTAAAATATTTTCCAATTTTTATTGTAATTTTTTGAGTCACAATTTCTTATTAGTTAAAAACGTATTACTTAGTTTCTAGACTGGGGAATTTTCCAAGATTTTGTTATTGGTTTCTAATTTTATTACACTGTGATCATTGGAATAAAATTTCCCATTTTATTCCTATTTTAATCTTTTGAAATTTGTTGAGACTTGCTTTTGGCCCTGCACATGGTCAATTTTGAAAAATATTCTTTGAGTACTTGAATGTACATTCTGCTGTTGTGTTCAGTGTCTAGCATGATTATTTCCAGTTTACCAATTGTGTTGTTCAAATCTTCTATATACTTGCTATTTGCTTATTTTATGTTACTAATATATTACAATCTTCTACTCTGGTTATGAATTTGTCTATTTCTCTTAATTCTGTCAATTTTTGTTCTATCTCTCTATCTGTCGAGAGAAAGGGTGGGAGACAGTGAGGAGGGAGTTAGGTACATACAAATATAGAATTGTCATTTATTCCTGATGGATTGGAACTTACCATTATTAAATATTCAACTGCACGTGCATGTGTGTTGTTTTGTCTGGCTTTTCTAATTGTTCTCAGTGAGAAGGTGAGTCTAAGAAACCTAGATCGCCAGTGCTAGAAGCAGAGTGCTGGATGCGGAAGTGCTGGAAGCGTTTAGCACAGAGCAGAGCGTGGTGTCAAGAGCTTAACAGATGTTTTTTTACTTTCCAGGTGTGTTTCTCTTAGTAGACTGTAAACTCTTTGAGGAAAGTGACCCTGTCTTAAGTCTTTTTGTGTTTTTATTTATATTGAGCACAGGATCTGGTCCTTATTAAGCAATTTTTAAATGGCTGACAATGCCGTGAGCTTTACTGTGGCTTAGCCTGCACCTTTGAAGTCACTGCGCTCCTGGGGCAGGTTTACTCAGTCTCAACACTGTTGACATTTTGGGCCAGGTGACTCTTTGCTGGAGGGGCTGCCCCGTGCATTATAGGATATTTTGTAGCATCCCTTGCCTTTGCCTACTAGATGCCAGTGGCATGCCACCACCAATGTGGCCACTGAAAATGTCTCTAGACATCTGCAACTGTCTCCTCCTAGGGGGCAAAATTTCCTCTGGTTGAGAACCACTAGGGTAATATGTGTGGTGCTAAATAAAGGCCATTCTACATGACTCAGTGTTTCGTATTTTTGTTTCCTAACGTTGACTTTCTTTTAAACCATAGGGTTTGAAACCGCTAAGTCTTTTGCCCTCCATGGTGCTCACGTGATCCTGGCTTGCAGGAATATGACAAGAGCCAATGAAGCCGTGTCACGCATTTTAGGAGAATGGGTAAGCAAGCACTTGACTGTTTTATTTACTTTTTTAAATTGTCAAATACACAGGCTGGGATAAACACATGGAGGTTTGGTACAGAGAATAAAGTTTATTGCTCTTGGAATAATGTTTTCTTTAGTTTTAAAGCTATATTTACTTTGTTTACTTTATGAATGAGAAGGACAAGCAAGCCCGTTATTTTCTACACATTTGTTTATAGTTCATTGCCATGCCATTTGCTTTAGTAGTCAGAGGTTTGAGAATGTTTACTCATTTAGTTCAATAAGAAAAATAAAATGTGGTTAACGCCCCCAAATACAACTGAGAAGTTGTTATGCTTATGGTTTTCGGTTCAGAAAGGAGCAGGCTTTAACTCTGTCTCTGGTTTTTCCTTTTTTGCTTTTCTCTGTCTGTGTAGATGTTCATGTTGATATGTCTATGTACAAAACATTTACTGAGGGATACAGTGCTTTTAGGGCTTCAGACAAAATCCTTTCCATCATGGGCTTACCTTCCAGGTAGGAGAAGCAGACCATAAAGGAATGACTGCATTTAGCATTTAACCTAATGTCAGGTGGTTATAAATACAGTGAAGGATAATACAGCAGAGTGAGGGGTGAGGTGTGACAGCGTGGACTCTGTCACACTGGGTGGTCAGCAGAGATCCCTCTAAGATTGCGACATTTGATCCGAGGCCTGAATGAAGTATAGAAGTAAACTGTGCCAATGTCACGAGAAATAGTTTCTAAGCAATAGGAACAGCGTGTGCAAAGGCACAGAGGTAGGAAAGTGCCTGGAAGATTCAAGGCTCAGCAAGGGGCTAGTGTGGCTGGAGCCGAGTAGCGGGGAGGGGGCTGCAGAAGAGCTTCGAGGGTGTCACATAGGGTCTCAGAGACAATGGCGAAGAAGACATTAAAGGATGCAGGCCAAAAGTGATAAGGCCGATTGGTTTTTTACCATGATCACTAGGCTTTGGCATGAAGTATAGACCGTGTTCATTCATTCTCTTGTTGTTTATTCATGTATTCATGAAGTGGCCTGTTATAGGTACTGGGGTCTACAATTAAGGAAGGACAGACGTTGCCACTGTCTTTGTAGAGCTTTCTGCTTAGAGTGGAAGACAGATTTAATCGAAGAAACATAAACATCGGTGTAAACTTGAAATAATGGTAGGCGGTGCTATGAAGTACGTGGTCCTCTAAAATGGCGAATAATGCCAGGGAGGTAGGGGGCATTCAGAGTCCCTGAGAAAGAGCCAATTGAGCTGAGATCTCAAGAAAGATTAGAGGGAAGGTGGGAGAAAAGTCACACCAGACAGAGAGAACGGCCTGTGCCCTGGCCCTGAGAGAAGGCAGTGGAGGAGGAGATGACAGTCACGTGGCTGGAAGCAGAACATGAAGGGGGCTGGATCATTCTTGCCAAGACTATCTTCATTTTCTGAAAACTGTGGAAAATTTTTTGCCATCTAAAGAAATAGACCATAGATTGTTTAAGGGAATGTCTGGGGTTCTGGACTGAAAATTTATGAAAGTCAAGAAAAGGAAGATTTGTTTCTGCTTTCTTAAGCAGAATTTCAAATTTAGTATATTTCAAATGAACGCTTGTCTTGATCTCACTGGATTCATTATTTACAGTTAAAGTGAAAACACAAAATACGGCCCAATTTTTCTGATTATCTTAGCATCTCTCTAACAATTAAATTAAAATCACTAATTATCTCTAGTAGATGGTATGGTAGTAATTTTTAGAACTGTATAAAGAGAATAAATGGTAGTATATACATATAGTTTGAATCTTCATACAAAATGGGAAGATATAAAATAAAAAGTGAAAGTCTCTCCCAATTCTTCTCTTGGAAGATAAATGTTATTAACCATTTCTTCTGTATTCTTCCAGAAATGGTTGTATATACTTGTGAACACACACATACTGTTATACACTTCGATTTTTTTCACTTAATACTATAGATCTTTTCTTATCAGTGCATATAGAGCTACTTCATTGTTTTTAACTGCTGTATAATATTCCATCACTTACTTAATGCTCTAATCTATTCAACTGATCTCCCTTTTTTGGTGGACATTTGGGTTGTTTTCATTGTTTCTCTATTCCAAGTGATGTTCTCTGAAAGTTCAGTCTCTTACATTTTCAGCCAAAATTGGGTGTAAACTATGGTATATTGAGCATTCTCAATAGACACTTTTGTAAGTACACCCATAGGGCAGAATCTTAGCAGTAGATTCACTGAATCAAAGGGGATAAGTATTTAAAGTTTCAATAGCAGTTTTCCCATTGTCATCTAGCAGTGTTGTACCGATTTCTATCCTCACTGTCAATGCAGAACGCAAACTGGCACCGGACAGTGTCAGACTCATAAAATTTTACCCATTGATGCTATATTTAAACTGGAAAAATCAAATTCCATCAATCTTAGTGATACTGTAATGATAATACTGTGCAATGATATTAATGTTTAGGCCAGTCTTGGAAGACAATGCTAAAACACAACTATGCATTGACAAAACTATCTTCCTTTTTTCTTGTATAGAACATCAAATTTATCTATATGTATCCCCTTATAACTATTGTTTGACACTTAAAGGCAGAAATTCCTAGATCTGACCTACTGTAGGACTGACTTTGGCAAGTCTCTCAGTCTATTTGGTGCTCAGTTTTCTCATCTCCAACAAAGAAGATCGAATGGGATGATCTCAAAGACCTACCGTTTAGTTTTTCTTTCTTGCATTTTAAGCCACAATTTGGTCCCTGTAAGTCAGTTTAATTCTACCATACCAGCAAACCACACTCCCAGAGAAAGAATTACCCAAAAGTATTCTCTGTCAGGGAGCAAAGGAAATGGGAACAAACACTAAACTCATTCTCACATGGCGTTTCAAATGTTTCAGTTTTTATAGTTTGTAGACTGAAGATACCTAACCCTTTTATCATCGCTCATCTGTTCGTCTGTCCTCTGTGAGTCCCACTGTGCCATGTTCCCTGTCCTTCCCAGATCTGGCACCAAAAGCCGTTATTACTGTTGCATGTCATTGCTTTATGAACACAGCGCCGTCAGTGTGAGACCCTCCCTTGGTGGTCTGTGTTCAGCTGGGGTCTCACTTGCCCACCCTCGATATGTGCCGGTCGGCTTCCCTTCAGGCCCTTCCTTACCTCATCTCTGCACAAGGATTGTATCTGGCACATCATTAAATACCACCTTCTTGTATTTCTCAAGGTTGATTTGATCAACTCCAGTTTTCCCAGCTGCTAACCAGCTTGAGGGCCTTTATGCTTTTTCTGGGATGAACCCTATCAGTGTTAGAACTTGGAAGATACTGCAACATATTGGTGCCTCCCAGGAGATTCTCAAAATGATCCAAAGTTTTTTGTTGCAGCAAAAGCTCACTCAGAAGTCTTTGGGCCGTTTGGCTCAGCTTTGGCTCGCACATGCCAGGGCTCTGTGGGCAATCTTGGCTCGGCTCAGGAGGCGGTGTTCATGCCTTCTTCCCCACCTTGCTCTTCCCTGCCTGGCCTTCTCTTCCTGCCTTCACTGTATGTTCCAGAATGCTCTGTGTCAGAACACTCCGGTCTGCCTTCATGGCAGTAGAATGTTACTCTTATACCCTCCATGAGGCAGCTGACAAGCACCACTTATGTGTCTCTGTCACGTGCTGTGTCCTGGGCAAGGCGCTTTATATCCTTTATTCAGAAGGATGTCAGAACCTGATTTTCCCCATTTTACAGAAAGCCAGTGCAGGGCTCAAAGGGTGAAGGGACTTGCCCAGAGCCACACAGCTGTTGAGTGCAGAGGCAGGCTCCTGGCGTGTCCATCTGTCCTCCAAACCCCAAATCCATCTACTCCACCCCATGACCTGGCCGCTCTGTCACATCCAGCATCATGCACATGCGTTACCTTTTAGGCGTTGCTTTCTAATTCACGAAATGCTATTTGAGTGATTAACTTCAGGATTAATCATATTTCTCAGATGAAGCTACTCTAATCTACCTTATTGTCCCAAGCAATCAATTTTCATTCGAGATATCCTTTATAGAGTTCTCAAATCACTTTTGAGGTGATCCAGCTATTTAGTAAAACATAACTTAAATGGAAACACATTGTATATGGAATTATATTGAGTCTATATATAGTTATTACTAATAATAATGATTTCGTGGGAAAATGGCCCCCTGCTGAGATGTTTTAGATGCTCCAAACTTAAAAATAAGAAAAGAATTGAAAACAATTAAAATTGGATAACATGGACAGTGCAGAAGTAAACCACCCTCTTAAAAGACCAATCCATTTCGCATAATTAAAAAAGGAGAGAGGATGGGAGGTCCATCAGCCTCTGATCGTATTTAAATAAAGCATCTCCGGAAGTGAGGTCTGTGCCTTTGTTGTTAAGCAGTCCACCATCTGAGGATGTGGTCTGCCTCATTCTCATCCTTAAATGGATTACAGACTAGTGTCCCTTACCTCTATGGCAGTCACCTAATATTTTTCTCATTATTCCAAGGAGCACATATGGCTGGCTGAGTAGGAAGTTTATAAGTTTATCTTCTTATTTTCAGAATGTGGTAGATTCTCTTTTGTTTAGTAGCACTGTCTGTGAGGACGTCATGTGAATTCTCTAAGTCCCAGACACTGATAGGTGTGTCTGAATCCCTGCAGTGCTGTGCTGTGGTTTTCGCTTTCCTTTATTCAATAAGTATTTATCAGAGTGGGGTTTTGCTGTTGTTTTTAATGGATGTCTGGCATGTCCCACTCTCCATGCTGAGATATGATGATCTCTAAGGGCCATTGTATATAAAGAATAGTAGTTGATTAGGTAGCAAAATGCACTTTATAAATGGCCACAGCAAGACCCACATCCCAACATAGAGCTCTTGCAAGGCCTGGGGGAGACTTCCACTTCCTCCTTTCTCTCACCTTATTATAGTTTCTAAGTTTTAGATTCCTAAAGCTGGAGGTTTAAAAGTTCCAGTCCTGGGGAGGAAGAAGGATGAATAGAGCTGGA